CTAATCTTGAGCTTTTTTTGCCTCTGTTGCTGATGTTCCTCTAAAGCTTGGTACGATGCAGTTGTGTGGGTATCCATTCTTACTGGTCTGACTGCAAAATTTAAGACAATGCTGGGAATCTTACAGGCATCTGTAGAAAAAGGATCATTACCCAGTTACATATATAAAAAAAATAGATATAAATGTATTTAATATATATAGAATGCTGTGTTAGGGCTTGCCAGAATGGGGATGGTGTAGAATATGTCTGCTTGCCATAGATCTCTCATATAGAGGGGACAGAAAGCATATTTTGTAATTTCCATAGGAAGTACAAATTATGAGTTTCGTTCTGATCTCAAATCTGTTCTTTGCTGGAAGAAAGGGAGGGAGTTTTGTTTTATTCAGATATTAGTTAATATTTAAGTTAATTAGATATATTTTTAATCAAAATAAAAAGCTATCCTCTATTATAGGTAGTAGACAATTTCTTACAGGCAGTCCTGGAATTGAAGACTTGGACTAATGCCTTACAAGTTAGCTTGAGGATTTCCTGTGGATATGGAACTCCATGGAAAGGACAAGAATGTTTGTGAGACAAGAGGACAAATAAACACAAGAGACCAGTAGCTGAAGTAAGAGTGGGGGGGGATGATAAATAGGAAGACAGGTTGATTATAAAGAAGTAAATAGTATACTTTGGATATTGTTTGGATCTGGATAGAAAAATAGATGGCACTATTAAATATTATTATCATACTAAGGAGCCAAATTGCAAAAATAATTACATACAGGGATAGGGGCAATTCTTACAATATATAGCACCAGTCACAGTGGGTACCTCTCCCACACAAGGGATTAAAAAAAATTAAAAACTCAGGTTTGCCCATGTTAACTTTGTTTAAATTGAAGCATCTGGTGGGTAGCTCATGGTGTACATCAGCTCTAGTCTTCAGTTATTTCTGTGCAAGACTGTGTGGACACTTTCTCTTTAGACTAAGTGTCCAGTAACATTATGTTGTGTGTTGGTAAGAATTGATAGAAAGTCATGGAAAGATTGCATGAGGAACCAGGAGGTGAAACGTTTTTGTAGAAGCTTGTGTAGAAACTATGAGGACTTTTTTTTTTTTCCCTGCTTAAGTCCAGCTGGAGAAATTCTTATGTTGGATTACTGTGTGTAATTCCCTTCTTTTAAAAAAGTAGCGATTGCATTGCTTTACATAATTTCCATCTCTTCATATATTGCAGTTCTAGTCTCAACCTTATCTTCTGAGCTTTGTAAACTAAGTTAAAATGTGTGACTACCCATCATGCCTGAACAGCTGTGCTCCTGAGTTGTACTTGACCTAAAATGTAAAGTGAATGTGTTGCAAGTGCCTGTTGAAGTTGTATCGTAACTGGTAGCAGGTGTGTTCTTTCTATCTGTACCAAATAAGACACCCTGTCATCATCCCTGTTTTTCTCATGTGGACTTTGGTTTGGTTTTGTTTTTATGCTGAAGAATTTTTAAATGAAACTCAGCATTGGGAGATGTGGAGAATTAAGCTTGCTTGTCTTCAGTGGAGCTTTATTCAGTGACCATTAATGGATGTTTTGACCCTAAAAAAACCTGTGATACAGGGCAATTAATTCAGAGATGTGCCATGAGTTTATATATGTGGGATGAATATCTTTCTATTGACTTTATGGTTGAGAACTGATAAGGGTGAGTAAACAGAGTTGCTGAAGACTCAGGCAAGCCACGTGCACAGCAGACTTAAGGCAGAGGTCTACTTGACTTCTCTCTGTGCTGTAGCTAGATGCCACAATAGACTCTTTGAAATCTGAGTACAGAGTATGTGCTGAATTATAGCAATAATATCTGTGATCAAAATGTTATACCCCTCCTGCCCCAAATGAAGATCTTTGTGGACAAAATTGTTTTTCTTCCCTTCGTTTTTCTAACAAAAAAAAGACATGTAGCTGTCTTGAGAGCAGATAAAAGTGTCTTTATGTGATGAATTCTCTCATACAAGCTATGGGAGTTACAAGGAAGAAGGCATGCATATACGTAGGAACTTAAGAATTTCAGTTTACTGCATCCCAAACTCCCAAGTTTTTATGGAATATTAGATGGGTATACTCTCTCAAGTGATGTCTTATATTTACTTCTATAAAGGCTTTTGAGAATTAAAATACCACATATGGTGTGGGATATTATCAGAAATTTATTCTAAAATAGCTACTTTATAATGAAACTAGGAGCAAGGAAAGTTTAGGAGCCAAAATGATGGTAAGCTTCATATCAGTTTTAATGAAAGGATTATAAAGCTTTAATTTACATTCTCTTGGTATATGTTACAAAAAATGTTTTCACATTTTAATTGGAATTAGTTATATTATAGGTGTAGGTATTTTAAAAACGTGTAATTCTGTTACTCGCCAGTTATTTAGAATCATATATATTAAAAAAAAAAGAAAAGTAGCTATATTTATAGCTACATATAATAGGTGAGTACATGGATCTGTGTATAATTTTGCTATTGTTACATTCACTTCCACTGGCTATGTGAATGGCTTCAGTGTGTATCTTGGCAAATGCCAAGGACATAAAAAAGTTGTTCATCTTAGTAGATTGATATTATTTTAATTTAAGCTTCAATTCCATTACTTTTTGATTAAACATACTGCTGTCTGATACTCTCCATCTTTTATCACTATGAAATCTGCTCCCAGGCAGAAAGAAGGATGACATCTGAATTATGCAGAAATAATTTTCTATCTTTTTTTCTTCAAATGCTGGACAGTCTTTTTCAAGATTCCACCAATATCACATTCGGCTTTTTCTAATCCTCTGCCTATTTCTGAATATTTGGCTATCAAATCTTGATCTCTTGCTATTTTTATTTATTTATTTGGTTTTTTGGCAGTGTGTTGTCCTGGATGTCATTTACTTCAGGTGTAGTTCAAACTCCCAGTTCAGGGGTGGAGAATACTGAGTTACCTAAAAGCTTTTTAAAGTGTTGTTGTTGTTCATGCTTTTCTAAGTATAGTTATAAAAGCAAACAAAAATAACCATGCTTTGATGATTGAATCACTAAGAATTTTATTATAAGACAGCTGAGACACAAAATAGGTCACAAGTTTAGTAGTGAAATAGGTACATAACATATATAAGATTTCATTCATAAATATACACTAACCTGGTTGGGGATATAGTTGATTGGTTTTGTTACTTATGTGATTTATAAAAATATAATTGCTAACTTACAGTGGTAAATGTACTTTTTGAGTTCAAGGGAGAGAAATACACAGCCTTCTGCAGTAAACAAAATAAAATTTCACTATTAAATACAGATGACCCTACCCACTTTCCCAGTGAGTGAAAACTATTCAGCAGTGTCGTATACAACTCACTGCATTATAGATACAGACATCAGTTTTGTTCTTAAGCCAATTATCTCCTGTGTTGTTAACCTTTGTAAATACCAACAGTCCATCTGAGTGAGTAAGAAACCCATACACACAAAGCCTTCCCTGCCAGTAGAGGAGTACAGACTTGGGTCTGTAAACTGCCATTTTCCTTGGTTCAGCTAGTGAGTGAGTGTTCTGGTGTCTTAATCTCATGCCTGCTTAGAGAGTAGAAGATAGGGAAAAAAAAAAGTCAGGAAATAGAAGAAGAAACAAAAACAAACCAACAAGACTTAGCTTTGAATTTCCGGTATTTGGCAAAATGGCTCTTCTTCATCAAAATACAGTCAATCCTCTTCGGTGATTGAGGATGAAAGAGGACTGGCAGATGTTTCCTGGTAACTTGGCTATGTTACCAGTGCAGGTTCATGGGCAGCACGTAAACTCTGTGCTGAATTCTTCTTGCTGCGCACCTCAAGTGTTAACTTAATTGTTGATGGCGTCTCTGCAGTCCAGAATCGAGGTTTGGAGGTATTTCCTTCAAGAGAAGAGAACAGGGAGAGGGGAAGTGGTAGAGCAGGGCACAATTATGGCAATAGAAAAGATAAGAGGGAGGAGAGCTTAAAAGAGACAGTGAAAAGTGAGGAAGTGAGCTGGACTTTATTACCTCACTCACAGGGATCATTGATATGTAATGTGTCCTTGCATTCTTATCTAGTTAAATCTTTGTCATCAGGGACAAATTCTGTACTTGGTATTACTCGTCCTGTAGCCCTGCACATGTGCTGCGTTTTTAAACTTCAGTGTTATATTTCTACCTGGTTATGCTGTCATTCATCTTGGTTCTCTGAAAACTGTGTTGGTAACTCCGAAGGAAACAAAGATTCTTCATTGTTTTATAGTAACTACTATCTTTCTCTCCTGCACCTCCTTCTTCCTTTTTTGGTTTTGTCTATGAGAGCAGCTATAGCTTGTTTCAGGAAGGTAAACTGCTATAGATCTATATAAAGCAGGTTGCAGAATGTTTTACTGAAGCAATTAACAATTTGGAGGTAAAACACAAATATTAAGTCATCATTAATGAATTTCTTTCAAATCCTCATGAACCCTTTCAGGTCTTTAAGCCACATATGTGTTCTTATTTTACTAAGGATAGTTTTGTGTCCTCTGGCCATGTTAATCCATGTTAATGAAAAGGATGGCGTTCGGCTATCTAAACTGTATACAGCATCCATTGTTTCTAAAGGTTTAATTTACTTCTCTACTCATAATGTTAGCCTTGTGTATCCATGGTGTTTATTACAACTTTGAACTTCTGCTTCTGACAAAGGCAATTTAAGATCAGACTCTTTCAAATAGAAACTTTTTAGCATTTTTTGGTAGTATGTAAAAATGAACAAATGGTTTTATATGAACAGGAAATTATGTTGCATACTTAGTCTTGCATGTGTGAAAATCTAAGCAGCTTTCAAATACTTGTGGTACTGCATTCTCTTGCTTTCTAAAATTACTCTTTTGAAATAAAATTGCATTTTAAATAAATATTGCAAGGCAGGAGATAGAAGATCGTTACCTGAAAGACATCCTCAGAATATATTAAATTACATGTTTTCTTGTTTTTCCCAATGTAGGTGTCCGCCTAGACAGAGTACGTGGAGGTCGCCAGAAGTACAAGCGCAGAATAGATGCAGAGAATAGCCCATACCTGAACCCTCAGCTAGTTCAGCCAGCAAAAAAGCCATGTGAGTACACCAGATACACACAACTCTCTTTGAATACAAGGTGTATTTGCTCCTACCCCTGTCTGCTAAGCTGCTTCTGACTGGGGCAAGGGTTTGGTCAGAAGGTATTACCATAAACACCATTTAGCTGTTAATGTATTTTGCTTTAAATATGCTTCTCTTTCTCAAGTGGAGTTGAACAAAGAATATTTTTACAGGTGGAAGTGTATAAAAGCATGGTTTATGCAGTGCAAATTTCACATTTACAGGTTATCTTTATTTTCAGTGGTACATAAAATTCATACTGTGATCATTAGTTCATTGAAGCTTCTAGTTTCAGATTCCACAAGAAAGTGATTTTTGTGGTTTTCACTAACTAAATGAGTTTGCTCAACCTCCCAATGAAAAGACATTAAGAGCCTCATTAATTCACACCTATAGATTAATACACTACCTAGCATTAGATTAAAGCAGCAATATGCCACACTAATAACAAGCATAGATTGGTATTTTGGGCTCTAGTACCCTTATGGATTTTTTTGCTTTGTTTTGTAATGTTTTAATAATGTCCTTGATTATATTTCACCAGATTGAAGTAGAGAGAGAGAGCTGATCATCGCATTGCTAAAATACAGGTTCCATCCTCTTTGAGATTAACTAAAAATAGTTAGGGGTTTTGCTTTGCAGCTTATATAAACCCAAGCAGCAACTGTACTAATTCCGTGAAGTAAATATAATAGCATTATAGCTGTAGTGCAAGAGGCTAGTGTATTACCCTGCAAAGGCATACACGCTCCATCAAGTGTTGTAAACTCTTCTGAGTTCAAATAAGAATACACACATGCAGTTGCTCCTGCTGCGAAGGTTGGTTTGTTCCTAAAACAGAGCACTAAGCCAGAAAATGAGAAGGGCGAACTCCTCCTTGTCTCCCATTTGCTTCTGCCCCTGTGTTTTTGACAGCACACATGTCAATTTTAGGCTCTTGAAAATACCTGGCTGTATGGAAAATGGATTTTGTTTTCTTTCGTGTTCTCCAGTAGGGGACAGTACAATACATTTGAGCATGTGGAGCTCTGGAGACCAAATAAACAGTCTTTGAGCTCTAAGTGAAACAGCATTTTAGCTGTGTCAAAGAAAAAACAGCCAGTTTTACATAAAATTAAGGCTTAAGTGAACATATGGCATAGTTTCCTTTTGCCTTTCCAAAAAACATTATGCTGATTATATTCCTTCAATTGTCCAATCTGGCATCTTCTATTCAGCCTTCATAAGCTGTCCCACCGTTCTGTAAATACAATCTAGGGCTGCACTAAGCAGATTTTGCACATTATAATAAAAACTTTCTGATAATACAATAAAATTTAATAAACTCTAATGCTTAATTTCATTAGAGGTTTAGTTTTCCTGGGTGCACAGATTGTCAGTTTTTCATTTACTTCATATTGTCATTGAGTAGAAATGTTGGAAGCCTAGCATATCAAAAACACCAAGCCCAAACAGGCAAAAAAATCCAACCCTAAAACCTCAAGCCCTTATATAGGAACATGGGTTAACGATGTTGTACTGAAACACAAGAATTTCCATGTAAACCCAAGATTATTAAGATGGTAACTACACCAATTTCTATAAGCTCTATTTGTCTGAGATAAACTAACCTCCTTATAAATCATTACTCATTATCTAAGTGCCTCCCTTCATTTTCCCTAGCTCGTCCAATTACAAACATTTTTGTAACCAACATTTATAAAACATAATTTTCAGATCCTGTCAGATAAATGTCAGGACTTGTAACAGTTGAATCGGTTTTGTGTAGAAGTAGCCTAGGAGATTTTCTGGACCCTAACTGATAGTTTGTGCATAAAAAAGACATGGGAATGAAAATTGGGTTCTATTGATTGTAATTAGGGAAACATTAAATAAGATTTACCTAGAAACAGTGCTCATGGCTATTCAGTTTCCTGAGTGATGGAGCTCTCTGAGTATATTCAGAATATATTCCTGTGGTATATACTAATCCACACTCCAATACAGTTAGGTTCTTCCCTCTGTATGGAAAGAACAGGTGTTTGGAGCATCTTTCCTCCACCTTCTTCTTCTGCCTTCTACTTTATTTGCGTTTCCCATTCACCATGGGATATAATGGCCTGCTTGTAGATCTTGTTAAATGCAAAATTAAAAAGAATTTGAGATTTTGAGAATTCTGAGTCAAAATATACAATATTCCTGAACAATGTCCAAAAAGCCTTTGGTGAGGAACCTAATAAAAAAAGAAAGGACGTTCTTTGGCCATTTCTGGTGTTTACAGGAAAAAAAAACAAACAGCAGAGCTTGGGGATGTGACTGTTTCTACATTAATTTATCACTGGTTAAAAACCCACAAAGTTTAAGTCCTCAGTTACATGTGTTTTGATATTAAGAAACTCTATTTATCCTACTTTTCAATACATGGACTAATACTGAAACTTGGGAAGAAGCAATGTTGTCTCACTTAAAAAGATCATGTTTTCTGTGTGAAATTAAACAGGATATGAAAAGACTGTTTAAAAAAAAAACAAACAACATACATGCAAAGGCTTTTTGCCACTATAAGTTAAAACTACCATCTGTCATCTTTAAATAAGAATAGAATTAATTCCTCATTAATCAGTTTGATTATCAGTAGAATATTGAGATCAAGAATTACTCAGTTGGCATGGTTCCTGTAGCTCATGTAAAGAATGGATCTACCCCCTGTAATAAAACATGCTTGATGAGATGGTTTCCAGTTGGCACTTGCACTTATATGAAGGGCTAATATATATCACAACTTCTGACACAAACATTTGGAATAAGGCAAAAATTGTAGAGACAGTAGTTCAGAATTGAGGAGCCTATGTCACGAAGGAGCAGTAAACTATCAGAAATCTGAATCAAGTGAGTATTTTATGGAAATCTGTCATGGGCTGGTAGGGGGCCTGTCTGATACACCTGTGCAAGTCACTTCCCCATCAGCTTTCATTGCAGCTCCCCCACAGGAGGAGTGTGTGGTCCATCCTGTGACTTTAATGTGGGAAGTGAAAATTATACTATTTAATCAGCTTTCTCTGCAGTTAGAAAATACTTCACACCTTCACATAGCAGAATCCCATTTATATTAAACCCCCTGTCTCTTTATCCTAAGGAAGGGAAGAGATTAGTGTAAATTCACTAAAGGACAATATTTGTGCTTTAAATTCTAGTGGTGCATTTTAGTTCACAAGGTGTATACCACGTATACCGTGAGAGGTATAACAAATATATTGGGAAGTACAGTAATGTACTAGAGGGCTTAATTAATTAGTCCTTTTCCTATTTTTCAGTTCTGACTTCTCAGAGTAACAAATCAGGCTTCTGTATAGAGATATTTCCATTGTGCCTCCACCTGCATATAATGCTTATTTTATGTTTATCCTTATTCCAGAATATAGAATAGCAATGCTGAATTCTAAATCTTCCAGGCTCTTCCACTCTTTTTTTTTTTTAACTTTCCTTATAAATTAATTGAGTTTTCCAAATATATTTCACATGTCATTTGGATGAAAAAGTAAATATTAAACACATGAATTAACATGCTATTTAGATAAAAATCAGCAGTGCGTGAATATAGTGAAGTATCATTCTTTACATAAAACCAGGTTTTGCATCTATTGATACTTTCCCTAGTTTTACACTATTCTCTCTGATTTCAATAGCTTTTCCTGACTAGAGGTGAGAGGAGATAACTAGTCTATTTTTGTACTTAGAGACTAATCTTATACATTATTCTAAATCTATGTATTTCAGTGAAAAGCAAGTATGACAACACCTTGCTTTTCTCAAAGCATAGACCTCAAGGAGTAGAGATACATTCCTAACATTTTAACAAGCAGGATGCCATGAAGTGTATGGGAGAATGAGTGAGTGTTGAGAAAATCCTGAGACCATTTCTGTTACAACAGTTAACCAGCGACAGCTGAAGCAAAGTAATGGAAGGTGGAATTGCACTAAGTGCTTGTGGTATTTACTTGCTCAAAAATATATACCTGCCTTGGCGTGGGTGGGGTTTAGAGGTGTGGGTAATTAGAGGAAGGCAAAAATTTTCTTTTTTATACAGTGTAAAATACATTATAAGGCATGAATATTTTTCTACAAAGCTTGTGTTCTGATTCTAGCAGGTGATAATATATTTCTACATTCCATTACATTTTCTTTCTTAAGAATAAATGTGTCAAGCTTGATAAACATTGTTAACGGATCACATTTGTTTGTTCTGTAACCTCTTGTAGATGCCACTGAAGTTACAGTAAGGTTTAATTAGGCTCAGTACCTTCAGACAAATTCTTGTGCACTTTGAAATATGAGCCATCTGTTGAAAAAGTAGCATGATGCAACTGGTGATCTTATACTTTTCTGGATCATTTTTACAGATAACAAGATTGTCTCTCATTTGCTGGTGGCAGAACCAGAGAAGATTTATGCTATGCCCGACCCCACTGTTCCAGACAGTGACATTAAAGCGCTTACCACTCTTTGTGACCTGGCAGACAGAGAACTGGTGGTGATCATTGGATGGGCTAAGCATATTCCAGGTACGTACAGTATTTATTGCAAATAGATGACATACAGAAATCATTGCATGGGTTTTTCTGTTGTGGTAAAAAATATTATTTATTCTCTCACTAAAATGCATAAAGTTTTTCAAGCATCCAGATTATTCACATAGGACATAGATGATAATATATCTTACCTTGGAAATACTATTATTGTTGCTATCAGTGTTACTATGTTTACTAAGTCTTACATGCTGCTCAGTGAATGCATTTTTTTCATGCTTATTAAAATAAACTTGCGTTGCGATCCAGAGCAATTGCCTGGTATGAAGGGTAGTTAAGTGCTCTCCTCTGTACTCTCCTGATTCAGCAGTAGTTGAATGTCTAGTTTCTCTATTCCATAAAGACAGCAGTATCTTATGCTGACTGCAGGAGGATCAAAAATTCAGTTATATTTTGGCATGGTGCAGAGGAATTGTTCTCTTCATTGACGTGAACTAGCATGAGACCTAGACTGTACCAACAGTTCAACAGAACGAACTGAACTGTACCAAAAAGTCTCTGCCTATGGCTTAGTAGTTCCTTGGTCTGCATGAAATGGACTGTGGTCTTCATTGCATGAATACGGTGATGTTATAGAGGTTGACTGGCACCCTTGTTAACAACAAAAGCAGAGGTCATCAGAAGCAGTTCCTCAGAAGATTAATGATTTCTTCAGATAACATTTGGGATGTATTTTCTTTTCCCCCAATCCTGAGGTATTTGTGCTTACTCTGTGGGCTAGCAGACAAGCTTACAGGGAGTCTCTAGGGTTCTCAGTCTGTCACACAAAAAAGACCAGCTTTTTAAAATTAATTTTTAAAGTATTTTCTAGTCCAGCAGATGAGTGAGCATGTTTGTGTGTTTTCATCAGCTCATTACTTTTCTAATTTTGATAGTGGAGCCTCATTTGACATAAGAACTGATACATCTTAAGTCGTCTAAGTAATATGACATCCTCATTTTAGATGTGACTCTGAGATACCTTAAAATTAGAATAAAGAATCCAGTCAGTTGTTAGTCACAGTTAATTTTATTTCTAATATCAAAAGAAATCACAAAGAGATGGAAAGAAATAGTCTTCCTGGGTTTTTTTGCCTTGTGTTAACCAGCACAAGGCCTCATTTCTTCTTGTAGGTGCTTTGGGGTCATCATTGATAAATAAGAACACTAACAGTAAAATAATGTGTATATTTATGGGAAGTTATTTTAATTCACATGTGAGACAACAACCTACAGACTCTAAAATGTGACACAGTTGAAATTTAGTCATTCTCTGTGCCACAAATGGTGTATAAACAAGCTTTTGTATCACAAGCAATGTTTTTCTGGTACAGTTAACTTATTTCTGTCTCCTTAAACTAGTTTGTCTTTATGCTTTGAATGCTACAGTAATTTCTTTAATCAAATTGATGGAAGTCCCTTTCCCAGCCCACACTGAAACCAATTTATTGGTCATGATACGCCAGCTATGTTGCTAACAGTCGTAACGAACTGTCAGGCAATATCGCAGTGAAGCTAATTTGAAGTCATTAGGTGTGCAGCGTTCAGGCAACAATTTGTTACAGTGGTTAGGAACACAGCTGACATTTCTGAATGGCTTTGTTCA